CTGGCGTGGGCGCCTCTCCTGGGGGCAGCTTCCTCGGGGCCAGTCCAGGGTTAGCCAGACCCTTTCCCGCTTTGCGGCAGCTGGGAAGTTAGAAAACTTTTGGTTTCCTTTTTTCTTTTTTTTTAAACTTTCCTTGCATTGACTTGAAAAGATCTGCCTTCTACTGTCCTCCCTTAGCTTCCAAGATTCCTTTCTCCTGATTTTTTCTTTAATCCTCATCCAAGGATTTGTTTTTATGGATTTGAGAGAGAGAAGGAAGGGGAGGAAGAGAGACAAATATTGATTGGAGAGAGAGAGAGAGAGAGAGAGAGAGAGAGATCAATTGGTTGCCTCCCAGGATTGACCCTGCAACCCAGGTATGTGCCCTGACTGGGAATCGACCCTGCAACGAACCGGCAACCTTTCCTAGGACTGGGGGCTCTCGGGGTTTTTCTGACACAGCCTCCCTCAGTTGCCTTTGCAGCCCCTCCACTCTACCCACCACAGGCAGCTCTGGGTGACTTCACCCCGAGGTTGGGTTACCATCTATTTAGTGGTGATTCCCACTAACTATGGCTCCAGCCAGGCTGATGAGCAATAAATTTCCCTAGTTAATTTACGTTACTATAAATGCAGTGAATGCACTTTTGCTGCCTGGGAAGGAATTCCCCTCATATCTAAATTCAGAGCTTTCTTTTAGCCCCATGCGGAGCCACAGCGACCATCTTGGACTACATCTCCCATTGTGCAATGGGAAAGGTGCAGCACTCTTCCGTGAGTCGACAGGACAACTAACCAATCCAATGTCAGAGCTCTCATTCTGCTACCTATTGGCTCCGGGTAGAGGCGGGACTCTCGGTTGCTAAGTTGTTACCCTTACCGGAAGTGGCTGTGGGCCGCTGCAGGGCAACACCCCGGCGTCCCTGGAAGCGGGGAGCGGGGCAGCCGGGGTGGTGCTGGGAAGCTGTGCAGAGCCGGGATCCCTCGCCCGGAGCCTCCGCCTCGGGGACCGGTGAGGACGTCCTCGGAGGAGGGCTCGGGGGACCGGGAGAGGAGGGAACGGGAGAGTCGAGGCACTTGGTGCCAACGAGCGGGTGTGCGCGAGCGTGGGCGGGAACTTCAGGAAGAAGGAGAAAG